AACCTGCCTGTGTTTACCTTGTCACTGTGGAAGGGGTGGGGTAGGCAGGATGTCAATGCTCCTAAAACATGAGAAAGGCTGACCTTCACCTGCGTGCAGGTTGTCTTGATTGGCCCTATGAGGTCCAGAAATCCTCATACCAAGCGTTTAATTTAATGTGCTCCCAGTTTGGTTGTCTCCCAATGCAGATCTTCTCTGGAAGAGTGCCACTTCTACTGAGGCTGGTGAGATTCCCACAGATAGTGTTTCAAGGGGAATCAGTTCACAGTCAGAAATCACAAAGACAATGAAGAAATTTACCAGCACGAGAAGTAGAGCCAGCAGAAACACCACCATGGAATTATCAGATTCCTAATGTAAAACTAGTACATACACTTTTAAGAATAAACAATTAATGTTTTGCTTTTACAAAAAGTAAACGAGAGGCATGGTGGCAAAGCAAGAATCAAGTTATTTCAAGAAAAGAAAAAAAAAAAGACCTAACAAATTTGGAAGAGGACTAAATAGAACTTCTGCAAAGAAAGTTATGATTATTACCATTGAAAATTCAGTTATAACGTTAAAGGCAAGATTAGACACAGCTGAAGAGAGAACTAATAAATAGGATATAAATATAAAGAAATCAACTAGAACCGTGGTCGGCAAACTGTGGCTCGCAAGCCACATGCAGCTCTTTGGCCCCTTGAGTGTGGCTCTTCCACAAAATACCACAGCCTGGGCGAGTCTATTTTGAAGATGTGGCATTAGAAGAAGTTTGTTTAAAATATTTGGCTCTCAAAATTGACTAATGAGTTTGCAGATCACTGAACTAGAATATATCCTACCAGGAGGTGGAAAGCATGTTAAGGGATATGGGAAAAAGCAAATCTTTTTGGAAATGATAAGCTACATAATTGGGACCAAACATTCTACAGAGGACAACTGGTCCAAGTTGTTATCATGAAAATGATATGGCTGTCACAATAGACTTTTAAGAAAAAAGCATTACCAAAGAGAAAACTTCATAATCATAAAAGATTCTATCAGTTTTTTTTAATCTATGTGTATATATAAAATCATGATTTCAAAATACAGAGAGCAAAAATTAATACAAATCCAGGTAAAAATAGATAAATCTACAATCCTAGAGGAGCATTTTAATAGCTCTTTTCTGGAACTGATAGGAAAAAAAAAATGGCTCTCTAAATCAGTAAATATATAGATTTGAGCAATAAAACTTAATAGACATTTAACATATCACACCCAAAAGCTGCAAAATACACATTCTTTTTAGTCACATACAGGAGCATTTAAAAGTCATTTAAGAGGGAAAAAATTAGGCAATAAAGCTTTTCTGACCTAATTTTAAATGATTGAAACCAGGCAGAGCATGTTCTTTGAGCGCAATTGGATTTGCCCAAAAGTCAATAACAATGACCAGAGGGTGAAAATCTCATAAACATGATGTCACGTGAAAGAAGTCAGATACAAAGAATGCATGTTGTATGTTTCATTATATATGAAGTTCAACAATAAGTAAAATTGTGTTTAAGGATACGTATTAAGGCAGGAAAAGAACAAAGAGAAATAGATCACCATAGCATTCAGGCTGGTGATTACCTTCAGGAGGTTGGGGGGCGGGGGAGGTCGGGGGGCTTGGCCAGAGCATCATAGCACAAGTTCCTCCTCATTCTGTTACTAAAAGCATGTTTATTATCCTCCAGTGCTGATTCTCCTAGCTGTACTTTTAGAATGATATTGTCAGCCAAAACCGGTTTGGCTCAGTGGATAGAGCGGACTGAAAGGTCCCAGGTTTGATTCCGGTCAAGAACATGTATCAATATCTTGGTTGTAAGCACATCCCCAGTAGGGCGTGTGCAGGAGGCAGCTGATTGATGATTCTCTCTCGTCGATGTTTCTAACTCTCTATCTCTCTCTCTTCCGCTCTGTAAAAAATCAATAAAATATATATTTTAGAATGATATTGTCAGATTCATTAAAAGTGTCATTTGGATTTTGATTGGAGTTGTGTTAAATTGGTAAATTTTCCCAGGATTATTTGCACCTTTGAAATAGTCTTCCCATCCAAGGATATGGTGTGTGTTTTCAGTTATTCAGGATTTGTATGATCTATTGTTTTGTTGTTTTTAAGATTCCTTAGAAGAAGTTTAGAGCTTTCTTCATATAGATCCCACATTTCATGTTAAGTGCTTTCCTAAACATTTTATTAATTGTGCTTCTATTGTAAATGAGCTCTTCCCCCAGTCCTCCCCTTTTTTCTAACTGGTTATTGCTAGTATATAGGAAAGTGATAGGTTTTTTTTTTAAACTGTTTATCTTATTATTAGTTTTCATTTCAATTATTGATTTAAAAATATTTGTTGAGGTTTTGTTGTGGAGTAGATAGGTATTAGTAGTCACTTTAAATTTTTTTATTAAATTCTTTATTATTTAAAGTATTACATATATCTCCTTTTTCCCCCATTGACTTCTCCCCAGCTCTCCGCGCCCCCCTCCCCTCCACCATGCCCTCACCATTACCCACATCTGTGTCCATTGGTTTTGCTCATATGCATGCATACAAGTCCTCTGGTTGATCCCTTATCCCTTCACCCCCCGCCTTCCCTCATGGGTTGGACAGTCTATTCGATGCTTTTATGACTCTGGTTCTATTTTAGTTCCTCAGTTTATGTTGTGCATTATATTCCACAAATGAGTGAGTCATGTGATACTTATCTTTCTCTGACTAGCTTATTTCGCTTAGCATAATGCCCTCAAGTTCTATTCATGCTATTGCAGATAGTAAGAATTCCTTCTTTTTATAGCAGTGTAGTATCCCATTGTGTAGGTGTACCACGGTTTTCTAAGTCACTTTAATATTTTTAAAATCTTTTTTACTTGTGCTAGTTTACACTGAGAAGACTAGGCGTATCAAGGGATAGAGATTGCTCAAGATCACACAACCAAATATTGTTGAGCTGGAGTTTTAATCCAGTTGTGTCTGACCAAGAAACTCACTCTCTTTTTAATCATGGGATATTTTTCTTGATGAATTTAACTCGACAGCCAATTATATAAAGTTATTATACTCTAAAGATGAATGAGATAATAAATGTAAAACTGCCTTGAAAAATTCAAGGACTATAAATGAACTATCCAAATTAATGTAGCAATTTCACTGTGAAATTGAAGCCAAGAGATTAATTGGAGAATAGCCGAGATCTGGCATTGCCTTCCAGAAGTTTAGAAGGCATAGAACTCGTCGTTTATAAAACTTGTGAGATGTACACTGAACATACCGTCTGATACCTTGTGAAGCCGGTGTCCTCCCAGTGCGTTTTTTAACATTAAAAGTGGCATTTAGAGAGTCATTTAAATAACAATGAGCCACATTTAAGATTTTTTTCATGATGTCCATCTCTAGACTACTTCTTAGCACCAAGGGGCTGGGAAATACTCTTTCATTCAGCACCAATTTTATTTTGCACCTTTGAAGTACCTGCCACTTCTTCAGGTGCTAAGTATTAACTTCTGAATAGAAAAGACAAGTTACAAACAAGCACATAGGTACATACCTTGAGAGAAGTGCTGTGAAGAAATGGTCTGGGTACCGATAAGAGGTTCCTGGCCCTCAGAGAGCGAGCCAGGCCGAGGAAATGCCCAGTAATAACACCTTGAGGCATGTGTGGAGGAGCCTGACAAAGGCTTGCAGGTCAGAGGTGCAGCGAATGTTGGAACGAGCTGAGGTTGGCCAAGTGGTAGGTGCTTGTTCCTGAGCGGTATCTCTGGCCTTCACCCAAGGACTGTGACATGCGAGACCAGAGAGACCATGAATAGGAATTTGATTTTTTTTAAATATATTTTTATTGATTTATTTATTTATTTATTTATTTTTTATTTATTTTTTTTTTTTTTTACAGAGAGGAAGGGAGAGAGAGAGAGAGCCAGAAGCGTCGAAGAGAGAGAAACATCGACCAGCCGCCTCCTGCACACCCCCACCGCGGATGTGCCCGCAACCAGTGTACATGCCCTTGACCGGAATCGAACCTGGGACCTTTCAGTCCGCAGGCCGACGCTCTACCACTGAGCCAAACCGGCTTCGGCAGGAATTTGATTTTACTCAAAGAGTAATGGGGACTTTTTTTTAGAAGGGCACCAACATGAACCAGCTCAGGATATTCCAGCATAGTGGTAATGCTGTAACTGCTAGTATTGAGAAGGTCTGGAGTGGCTGCGGGAAGGCCAGGCAGGAAGCTCATCTGCAGACCAGGGCAGCCTAACTCTTGGTCGTAGAGGCTCTCCGGTGAGCTGAAGCACCTTTTGAGGTGTCTGGCCTTCACCCACTGGACTCCTCCTCTCCCCTTCCAAGCTGTGACAACTAAATCTGTTCCCCACGATGGTGGAATGACCGCCGTTGAGAGCCCCTGGTGTGTAGACCCAGCGGAAATGGGTGAGGACCGGGCCTGAGGGAGGGCAGCAGAGGTAGAGAGAAGTGCTCTCATTTGGGAACAGGCTCAGGTGGAGGAGGGCCCCCCAGGTTCCATGGGGCAATGTTCACATCTGCCAGGCTTTTCGAAGGCAGGGGGAGGGAATTCCTCCACATGTTTTTTTGTTTGTTTGTTTTTTTTAATATATTTTATTGATTTTTTTACAGAGAGGAAGAGAGAGGGATAGAGAGCTAGAAACATCGATGAGAGAGAATCGATCAGCTGCCTCTTGCACACCCTGTACCGGATTTGTACCCGCAACCAAGGCACATGCCCTTGACCGGAATCTAACCCGGGACCTTTCAGTTCCCAGGCCGACGCTCTATCCACTGAGCCAAACCGGTTTCGGCTCCTCCACATGTTTTGAAACCTTAAAATGTGCCCCTTGTCCTCGCTCTTTCTCAGACCTTAGATCTTCCAGATAGTGTGTCTACTTATTCTGCAGACACGTAAGATCTGCCCTCTCTTCCCCATGCACAAGCCACGCCCTCGTAAGCCCTGGAGAGGTGACAGGGATGCTTGGTCTCTCGCCAGGAATCCTGAAGTGGGTGAAGCTGATCGACAACTTCGAAGGAGAATACGACTACGTGACGAACGAGGGGACGGTGTTCACGTTCAAGACCAACCGCCATTCTCCCAACTACCGCCTCATCAACATCGACTTCACGGACCCCGAGGAGTCCAAGTGGAAGGTGCTTGTTCCTGAGCACGAGAAGGATGTCTTGGGTAAGACTGCGTGCTGCGTGAGGACGGTGCTTTCGCGTCTGGTGAGCGCATCAGCACGCCGGCCTGTCTCTCGTCCTCGGGGGCCCGTCACAGGGTAAAGGACCCGCAGCCTCTGAGCTCTGGGCATGAGGTGTCTAAACAGTGCCACCAGGTTTGCACTGCAGGACATCTTCGTAGTGACTACAGTATTATGCAGGGTCATCCTAATTGTGAAGATAGGAATCCAGATTTTCTAAGTGGTGCTTTTTTTTTTTTTTTAAATATTAGTTGTCTTTGTGTAATAATCCCATATAATAAAAGCATAATATGGTAGGTGTCCTACCAGTCGCTATGACACGCACTGACCACCAGAGGGGCAGATGCTCAGACTGGTAGATTAACTTGCTACTGGGGTCTAACAAATACTGACTGGGTGAGAGAGTTGGGCATGCCCTGAAGCCTTCCTACACCCTCCCCAGCTGGCCAGCCCCCGTCGGCCCCAAAAGGGATCGGGATTGGGGTGAGACGGCCTCAAGGCCCCAATCGCTGGCTAAGGGATCCCCACCCATGCACGAATTTGTGCACCAGGACTCTAGTATGATAATAGTCACAATTAATTTTTTTAAACCATTGGATTTAGCAGCCTTAGCTTTTCGCTTTTGAATAATCTTTGGCTGTTTGTATTGTATCTATTAGAGATTGTAGGGTGGGTTTACCATCCCCTTATTAGGAAAGGAGTAGACTGTTGTCAGATTGAATTGAAATCCAGTGCAGTTGCTGCTGTGTGCCCTGAGCGCCGTTAGCCTTTCAGGAATCTCACCTCTGTATCCCTCCTGTTTCAGGGTGCCTTTACGTCCCCTTGTTCATTTTCTCTGTGATGGTCCCAAAATGGTATGCTGTGTTATAAATGGTTCATTGCCTGAAAGCTGGATTTGATTAGAATGAGACTCACCAATTTTGCTACAAGTTTTTTTTACACAAAAGAAGAGTTCAGTTATCTTCAAGTTAATGAAAAATTTTGGTTGGAGGTGAACTTCTGCTCAGTGGGTTCAGTGGGGATAAAAGCGAGGGCCATCCCAAAATAGGAAGGTGTAAGGTATATATAATCAGGAAAATAAATCCTTTTGACACTTGCATAGCGTCCCTGTCCCTGAAGCGCTCCTGGAAAAGTGAGGGACTCTCTCCCTCCTGGCTCAAGGCCGTGCGCTCTGTGCCTGGCGGGCACTTAACCCTGGCCTTGCATCGTGGGGAAAGGGAGAAGGTGGTCAGATGCTTACGCCGACTGCCTCGGGGATTGCTGCCATGGGCACCCGCTCTAGGCCCTTCCCTCTGCAAGGACCTTGGCCCAGGAGGAAGCACTGCTCTGGGCCTTTGCTCCAGATTCTGCCCAGCCGCCGGGCATCTAGCTGCACCCCTCACCCTCTTCAGCCCCGAGCTCTCCACAGCCTGGCAGGCGAGTGTGTTGGCCAGGACCCGAGAGGACCTCATGCTTGCTCTTCCTTACAAAACCCACATCTGCACCTCCAAGGCAGCAGCCCCTCCGTGCTCTCCCCCAGGTACTCCGTCCCCCTTCTCCTGCCTTCCAGCTGTCCCAGTCCCGGTCCCTTTAGCCACTCGCATAGAAGTGGACGCTAGTGCTGTCTACAGGCTGGCTCTCCCCAGTGGGGGGAGGGGCTTACAGCATGACTGGGCTTTCTCCAAGGAAATCTCTTCACTTGTCTCTCCAGAAGCTTCCATTCGCTCCGTGCCCTCATTTATATTTGGGTGAGGGGTCCGTGAGTCAAGAAACGGGTTTTTGGCCATTGAGTGCATAGTGATTCTGGGTGCCTGGTGGCTTCTGTCCAAACTGAGACTGAATGGCCCCCTAAGGGTGGTAAGAGCTGGGCATTTAGTGAGTGCCTCTTGAGTGCCACTGAACTGGCCTCATGCTGGCAAGTCCCAGGGAGACTTTGGTCGCACCAGTCTTCCTGTATGGTGTCCTGGGTGGTTTTCAGACACAGGGCAGGTCGGATCAGTGCTTCTTGAATGGGGAGCTCTCAGAGACGTAACTGTTTGCCAAAGCCCATGACTTTTCCGCCTTTTAAAGCCCCCCTAAAAGTGGCTTGGCTGTGCCTTAAGGTGACGTCCTATTTCCCCGGTGGGCCTAATGAAATGCAAATCACTGCCCAGAGACGTGGGGGTGATATATCTGTATAACTGTCCTTCTGGAAGATTATAAGCTCCTTGGACTGGAAAGGGGAAACCTTCACCATTCCCTGGAACTCATCAATCCAGAGGGAAGCGCGGCTGAGTTTGCTATCTGTCATTAGCACAGAGTGCCCAGTGGAGAATAAGAACTAGCGATGAGTCATAAAGCACAGCCATAAAGTCAGAGCCGTTATTGATGGCGCCCGCAAATCTCCTTGTCCTTTCTTCTTCCCTCCGTCTGTTTATAATTCTGATGTGCTTGCAGTTAACACCAAGGATTCCTTGACAGGTAATTTACTTCTGTTTTTCCTCTCTGCTTTCTGTAAAACATTCAGGCCACATGAAATATATTACTTGATTGAGGCACTTTGATTAAAAAAACAAAAAAAAACAAAAACGCTCTGGAGAAGGAGCACAGGACTTGTGGCCGGGCAAGTTCTTTGTCTTTCCCGAAGGAAGGGTTTGCTGTGGTAGACAGCTAACCGGATGGGAGCGCCGGGGGTCCTCGGAGCTCCCTCTGGCGATACCTGGCTTGTGCTGTTAGCTGCTAATGTTAACAAGTGTGAGCTACTGCCGAGACTGGTTTGGCTCAAGGGATAGAGCATCGGCTTGGGGACTGAAGGGTCCCAGGTTCGATTCCGGTCAAGGGCATGTACCTTGGTTGCGGGCATATCCCCAGTAGGGGTGTGCAAGAGGCAGCTGATCGATGACTCTCTCTCATCGATGTTTCTAACTCTCTATCTCTCTCGCTTCCTCTCTGTACAAAATCAATAAAATATATATTTTTTTTAAAAAGTGTGAGCTACTAGTTTCGTGGGTTTTGAAAAATGAGCATGTGGCCCTCGCCGGTTTGGCTCAGTGGATAGAGCGTCCGACGCCCGTGGACTGAAGGGTCCAGGTTCGATTCTGGACAAGCGCAACCCATCTATGAGTCTCACATCGATGTTTCTCTCTCTGTGTCTCTCCCTTTCCCTTCCACTCTAAAAAAATCAAAGGAAAAAATATCCTCGGGGGACGGTGAAAAATATTAGTAGTAAAAGTGAGTTTAAAATGAGCCGCGTCAAGGATCCCACCACCAAACTTCCGTGAAACCGAGAAAGGCTCGTCCCCGTGGTGCAGCGGTTGCCTGTAGCCCTGTCCTTGCATCTGTCCGTGCATCACAGCACCTCTCCCTCCGGGCAGCCTGGCCTTCCCGCAGGCTCATCTCGTCCAGAACGAAGCGGATGGTGCCCTGGGCCTGCCCTTCCTTCTGTGTTCCGCTCCCTGCCCTCCCCCAGGGCTGCCGCATTCGCAACCCTGGGAGTGAGGAGGACTTATCCCTCTACCTGACTTACCATTATCCCGGCCTCAAAGCCCTGGATTCTTGTGGGGTACTTGCCTTTCATATTTTTACTTTTATCTTTTGCCTTTCATTTGTTTTCTTACATCTCCAGACTTGATCCACACGGGTGTGATTTCTTTTTCTTTTTTATTTTATTATTATTATTATTTTTTTTTACAGAGAGGAAGAGAGATAGTTAGAAACATCGATGAGAGAGAAACATCAACCAGCTGCCTCCTGCACACCTCCCACTGGGGATGTGCTCACAACCAAGGTATGTGCCCTTGACCGGAATCGAACCCAGGACCTTTCAGTCCACAGGCCAACACTCTATTCACTGAGCCAAACCAGTTTCAGCCACACTGATGTGATTTCACTGGCTTTCTGCAGGTGTGTTCCTCCTGGTCTCCCCTCCGTCCCCTATGCACCTCCATTGTTCTGTGTCCTTCACAGATGGCCTCTCTGTTTGTATCCCCTTTATCCAAACGGCAGTTCCACAGTAACTGCCGAGTCTGAACTACACTACGCTCCTACCCAGCTCGCCGCGGCCCCCTTCGATCACCATCGCCACTCACCCCCAGACTGAACAACCTTTTTCTTCTTAAAAACAGACCTCTCACTTGTGTTTTTTTTTTTTAACTCCCTCCTTTCCCTTTCCCTTCCTCCTTCCTACCTCCCTCTCTTCCTGCTGTGCATTCATTTGTTCATTCTCCTCCCTTTTCTCTCTCCTCATTCCTAGCTGTGGCCTGTTCCTTTGGCCGCCTGTCTTCCTGCCGCCTCATCCCACTGTCCCTCCCGGGCACCTCCATCCCCACCCCTGTCAGCACTTGCTGAAAGGCTCTCCCTTTTTTGGGTCTGCAGCCAACCAGGGACTCACCTTTGTCTGCACGCTGTGCTTTCATATGCTTGTATCCTAAGGGCGGAGGTGCTGGCACCTTGCAGAGGACCTGGACTATTCCAAGGGCTTTGATACATTTTTTGTTGAATAAACAACCCCAGCGGAAATGGGCTGTGATTTGGTGGTTGTTGTTTTCTTCTATTTCCTGTAGCATGATATTAGACACAGAATAGGTAGGTTACCTATAGTACACACCTGACCTGGAGAATCACAGCCCCGGGCTCCAGAACTGCTGTCCCAGGACGTGGGTGTGCCATCCACGCCTTTGCAAACCCGCCTTAGGCCTTGTCTGTTCCTGTCTTTTCAGAATGGGTGGCCTGCGTCAGGTCTAACTTCCTGGTGTTGTGCTACCTCCACGACGTGAAGAACACGCTGCAGCTCCACGACCTGGCCACGGGCGCCCTGCTGAAGACCTTCCCGCTCGAGGTGGGCAGCATTGTGGGCTACAGCGGGCAGAAGAAGGACACCGAGATCTTCTACCAGTTCACGTCCTTCCTGTCTCCAGGTGAGTCCTCCCACCTCCAGACTCAGACTGATGCTTGCGTTTCTTTGGGGAAATGGGAAAACAGTGCTATGAGGTTGAAAATCACACGTGCTGTATTACAGCCAATTCACTTAATGGGAGTAAAGCAGATGCTCAGAACCAAGGGAAATGCAGCCGCCGAAACTGCACCGTCATTAGTTTTGTATCCTGAGTCCTGAGTCTGTTCTGGGGACAGGACCAGCTGTTGTTCCAGGTTGATGAAAAAAATCCGCAGGAGCAAGTATGATCTTCGATCAGCCTTGGTCTGTGTGGACCAGGCCAGGCACACACACACTAAACTAAAAGCTTAGAATAAAAACGTGTGGCCCATCCCCAGTAGGGGGTGTACAAGAGGCAGCTGATCGATGACTCTCTCTCATCGATGTTTCCAACTCTTTATCTCTCTCCCTTCCTCTCTGTACAATATCAATAAAATATATATTAAAAAAACAAAACCAAAAACAAACAAACAAAAAAAAAAAAACGTGTGGCCACAGCTGTTGTTTCCTAGAACAAACAGAATAAATTCTGCAGTTGTTGAACTGAATTAAAGATAAGTCTGAAAATATAGTCTTGCATCATATAGGGGGGGGGAAACTCACCTGGTCTAATACAAAGAAAACATGCTCATCAGTTGGAATTTTACTTTGCATGTAAATTTCATGTCGTTAATTTTACCCAAAGTCAACATAGCGGTCCTTTTTACTTTTTAAAGAGTCATTCTGCTTTGTTTTGGTTTTGTCTGCTTCTCCCTTGGGCTGTTTTGGCTATCACCGAAGCCTTACGCGTACTCATCCCAGAACCTGGTTCAGTTAGCAGTTTGCCTTGGACTGAGCAGGCCCTATACTAGATCGGTCTGGCTGAGAAAGTTTGCACATTTCCTTGTTCGTTTTTTCACGTTCCTCGATAGCCCTTTTGGCCCTACCCAGTTTTGTTGCGATAGTCTTATCCTTGGCAAATACAGCAGATACGGGAGAGCTGGGCAGGTACTGGGTTGGCACTGGCATTTGGCCAGATGATCGTGATGCCTCTTCCCCCCCCCCCCCCTCCCCTCTGAGTCACAGAGCAAGCCATTCATAGGAACCTTATCACCTGGCAGGTTGCTGTCAGGATTATTAAAACCCAAAGAGTGATGTTCTGTCAGAAGGTCTGATGGCATACCCAGAGCACTTAGTAAGCTTTCCTTTCCCACGTGCCTTTGGGAAGATTGAGGGGGCCAGGAAAAGTGCCCACGAGGATGTGGAAGCTGGGGCCAGGAGTCAGGGACGGACAGGTGTCCTGCGCCCGCCCCTCTCCCCCGGGTACTGAGGTACAGCGGCAGCCCGTGGACAGGAACCAAGAACAGCCCGTTTCCCCCAGAGAGCCATTCCCAGCCCCGTGCTGCGGGGCCCACCGTTCACGCGCTCAGGTTACACGGGTCCTAGAGGTGTTACATTGGAAAATCGCATCGCTTGGACCATTTAAATGTAAAAAGGGCTGAGGAGAACAGAGTAGAGGGTGACTCACCTACACTTAGTAAAAGCCAGAGTCACCAGAGGCCTGTAACCCTCCTTCCGCGACCCCATGTGGCCATTTATTTCAGGAACACGCTCACCGTTACCTGGGGAAGAAAGGACTCCTTGTCCCAGCGTAGCAGGGTGGGTTCTGTGCCAAGGAAGGAAATGTTATCCGTGACCGTGGCTGCAAAGGTTGGGAAGAGAAGCGTGTCCTTGGTTCGGCAGTGCCAGGCGGCTTCTGAGCGAGTGCTCGTTTGCTGCTGTAATGCTTTGTTCCTCTGTCTGTTCCTCTTCATGTTGCCTCCAGCTTTGTGTTTTTCCTCTCTCCTTAATGCAATTGGATATCTACAACCAAAGAACAGGCCTTCCTGACGCCGGCCTTTGAGTCCAGGTGTAAAAATGCTCACGTAATTAATTGTCAGCATGTGTCTGTATCCATCCACACACATCCATGTCACCTTCAAGCCTGCCTCGCCCTGGCCTCTGAAGGTTAGCTGCCCACAACAGCTGACTAAATCAGAAGCAAAACCCCAGGGCCCAAAGGCGCTGCCGCTGCAGCTGCTGTGGACATGGGAGCCACCTGGCAGGGGCCTGCCACAGCCGACCGCAGTGCGCAGTGCACAGTGCCTTCTGCCCAAGCCGTTTAGGAGTTTTGTATCCTAAGTCACACCTGGGAGAAAATGGGCAGCCTAGGGAGCGTGACACAGGAGGCTCTTATTCCCTGTGGCCCAAACCACGGAGCTGCAGAGCCGGTTAATTGTGTGCTCACGGAACCTCGGAGGGTTGTCTAAGGTGAGCTCTGGACAGACTCGACCATCATAAAAATCCTGTACAGCAGCCCCAGGGGCATGGCTCTGGGAACCAGAAATTAACCTCAAACTGTTTGGGAAAGGTGGGGGGGAAAAAAAAAAGAAAAAAAAAAATATATATATATATATATAAATTTTTTAAGAGGTTTAGAGCAGATTTAGGTTCACAGCAAAATTAAGGGCAAGGTACAGAGATTTATCATATAACCCCTGCACATGCATAATCTCTCCCACTAGCAATACCGCCCCCAAATGTATATTACATTTGTTATACAGCTGATAAACCTACACTGACATCCTAATCACCCCACGTCTATAGTTTACCTTAGGATTCACTCTTGGTGTGGTTCATTCTAGGGATCTGGATAAGTGTATAATGCCATGTATCCATTATTATGGTATCTACAAAATGCTTTCATCACCCTAAAAATCCTCTGTGCTCTGCTTTCTCACCCCATCCCATGTCCCAGCCTTTGGCAACCAGTGTCTATTTTATTGTCCCCATAGTTGTGCCTTTTCCGGAATGTCATGTAGTTGGAACCACACACTATGTAGCCTTACCAGATTGGCTTCTTTTTTTCTTTCTTCCTTTCTTTCTTTTTTCTTTTTAAAAAAAATATATTTTGTTGATTTTTTTTTTTTTTTTTTACAGAGAGGAAGAGAGAGGGATAGAGAGTTAGAAACATCAATGAGAGACAATCATCAATCAGCTGCCTCTTGCACACTCCCTACTGGGGATGTGCCCACAACCAACCTACATGCTCTTGACTGGAATCGAACCTGGGACCTTTCAGTCCACAGGCCGACGCTCTATCCACTGAACCAAACCAGCTTTGGCAAGAATAGCTTCTTTCACTTAGTAATATTCATTTATTCATTTAAGGATACTCCGTGTCTTTATTACTTTTTAGCACTGAATAATATTCCATTGTCTGGATGTAGCATCATCCATTCACACATTCACCTACTGAAAGGCCTCTTGGGTGCTTCTAAGTTGAGGCAATTGTGAGTAAAGCTTCTGTAAGCATCATGAGCTGGTTTTTGTGGGGCCATAAATATGTTTTCAACTCTTAAGAAAATACCAAGGAGCACAGCATTTTCTAAGAGACTTGTTTTAGTTTTTATTTATTTTTTTTCTTTTAAAAACCTTAAAACTCAAACCTAATCAGACAAAACAGTCTCTATGTGGGTCATTTTTTGCAAAGTTCTTTTGCCTTTTCTTTATATATCCAATCTTCCTATCCTCCTGATTCTTCTTTCATAGCTTCTCATAGGGTTACCCCTTTCCCTAACTCCCGTTTCTTTTACCTCCTTACATTTATTTCAAATTATAGCAGGAATATCCCAGCTGACCATCCCTGCCTCTTCCCTATTGCTAGAATAATCTTATTAAAGCACTTGTTTTCATCTGTGACCCATCACCCCAAACACTTTAAGGGACTCCCAAAATTCAAATCTCTTTCACCCTTACATTTTGGAATTGATTTCCTAGCGATCACCCATCCAGTCCTTTCTCGTTCATGATTCTAGGGTTTCTCCAAACCCACCTTCACTTGTACTTGGACACCAAACATCGTTACATGATAAGGATTCCCATTACAGCGTGAATGTGCAAATATGTAAATAGAAAGTATTGATCAACTAACGGTATTAAGTAGTAGTAGTACCTTCAGGGTTAACACAGCCTCTGCCTAGAAGACAGATGAATAGAAGTGAGGCAGTAGCCAGCCCCTGTGGCATGCTTACTTCATTCCGCTGTTCGAGGGTTCGATGTCGGTATTTTTTCTGGATAAACAGGCGTTTAGAGTGTATTTTCTATTCATTGTCTTTCACTAGGGAATTTGCATTCTAGTCCTTTGGTGGCCTATCTAAGCTCACTGGCCCAGTCACTGTCAGCGCTGGGAATCCTGGCTCCCGGGTCCCTGTCAGTCACTGTCCTAGAGGTAATGGTGATGCCAGGGCGAGTCAGGTGCTCAGATTGTACGTGCTTGGTCTGCCACCTCTATATGTAGTTGTCTGGTGGTTTGGTGTGCTTTTTTTTCTTCAAAGATTCAGATGTGGGGGTTTATTTTTTTTTGTTTTTGTTTTTTTGGTTTTTGTGAAAGAGGGAAAGCAGATACTGAACAAGCAGCTTTTCAAAAATTCACAAGTATCTGAAGATGGCCATTGCCCTCCAGATGACATTCCTCTGGGAAATTTCAGCGTGTGCCCAGCGTGCAGTTGGGAAGTATTTAAGTTGTACTTTATACCGGAGAAAGCCAGCACTTGAATCATGTTACATGTCTCCCCACCGTTGATCTTGATTATACACCCTGTGATCATGCCTTAACACGCTGTATCTGTAAGCGTGATGATGGGGATAACATTCATCGGATTAGCAGTCGTGCTGTTAAGGAATCTAAATGCACTGCTCTTTGCCAGTGGGGGGCAGAGTGTGTTTTTCAGCTGTTCGTGAAGAGCATAAACGGAGGAGTTGAGAAGAAAGCAAGCCATGGTTTTACCTCCAGATCAGTCATTTAGAATGTGTCCTTTGGGAGGACAGTTTAGTTTCTGGTTTTCCAGCAAGCCTGGGGATCACTAAGTAAATTTTTCATGTATTTGATAGTACGTGTTTCAAATATTATTTCGTGGGAGGGCTGCTTCCACTCCAGCCATTCTGGGTGACTAATTCTGTTTCATAAACCACAGCAGTGTTGTTCTCAAATGGCGGGGCTTGTCCTATTTATTGTTCCTCCGACGTAGTTGTTAAATGTCAGCATTAAATTCAGGAAATAGAATTTTAATTAGTGATTAAGTAAGCTGGGAATCTCGGTGCATATTTTTCAGTTTGTATTATGCACAATTACTGGGATAATCGAAATTTAAAAGCAGTTTGAGAACGGCTCCCCGGTCCTCACTGGTCCCCGATTGCTGTCCACCTGTGTGTCCGTGAATGCGTGGGTGTCGGGTAAGGTAGCAGGAGCCCCAGGTTGCCATCAAGAGACCCCTGGCTGGCTCTTGACTTTGGGCCACTCATTTGCGTTTTCCGTCATAATCGGCTCTCGGACATAACCGTCCTGTGTGAGGTTCCCCATGTTATTTCGCCTTGCTCCTAAGAGACGTGGCGTGGAGCAGACCTGTTAGTTTCCACAGTTAGCTCCTCGCTCTTCTCATGTCCCCTGACGCTCCTCTCGCTCCTCTCGGCATCTGATTACACTTTGAGATCCTCGGCCCCCTGGTGTCTGGTGTGTTCATGGATTGAACATAGACTTCCGCTTCCTTCCAGGCATCATCTATCACTGTGACCTCACCAAAGAGGAGCTGGAGCCCAGAGTCTTCCGAGAGGTGACGGTGAAAGGAATCGATGCTTCCGACTACCAGACCGTCCAGGTACGGAGGAGCGTTTGCTCTTGAGAGTGTGAGTTAGAAAACCTGACTTCTCAGCTGGGCCTTTCCCAGCCCCGCTTGTCAGGAGCAGTGGAGATAGGTGATCCACAGTCATACGGACGGCAGATCCTTTCGGAGTTCCGGGTCTGGGCACGAAGCCAGGATGGCCCCTGTCCTCCCAGATCTTACAGGCTCTCCCATAGCTGCAGCTCTTTTGACAAGAAGCCAGAGTCCCTTGTCTGGGGGACCTCACTTCAGTAGCTATCAAAGCAACACAGTTGTCTGTGTGAGTCAGTTTGCTTGCAGTGGGTTGTGTTCTAGCTCAAGTCTTATGGAGTCATAAATAGCAGCATAGATTTGCACTGGGTGAAGTATTTACTCGAGTGCTATACGTCTTTTCAGAATGAATTTCATATGTGTTTCTGCCCGGCACGGAGGGGGCACGCCGTAAAATATTTGCCCTAGCTGGTGTGGCTCAGTGGATAAAGTGTCAGCCTCCAGGTTCAATTCCAGTCAAGGGCACGTATCTCAATTGCAGGCTCCATCTCCTCATGACCCTCATAGAGCCTGTGCAGGAGGCAGCCAATTGATGTGTCTCTCTCACATTAATGTTTCTCTCTCTCTCTCTCTCTCTCTCTCTCTCTCTCTCTGTCTCTGTCTCTGTCTCTGTCTCTGTCTCTCCTCTCTTTTACTCTCAAAGAAAACAAAAAACAATGGGAAAATATTCTCAGATGAGAATTAACATAAAATATTAGAATGGATGAATTAACTAATTCATCATCATGGCACCACAAACTCAATCTGTGGTCACCATCTTCTTAGGCTAATAAGAATCTCCGTTTTTATCTATTCATCTCCCCAAGATCCTGCGTCTCCCAGAAACTGAATCACTTATCGCCGATGACACAGAATGTCTCCGATCCTCCGCAGTGAGAGGTGACCTCTCGGGCAGCAGGTGTTGATCAGGCTCTCCCACCTGGAGGGCTGCACCCACTGACCATAGGTTAGGAATTAGGAATGAAGGGAGGTTAGAACGAAGAGCACTGATGCTCCTGAGAATGTTTCTGTGAAATGAGGGCATTATTTGAGCTCAGTGCATTACTCTTCACTGTCTAGAAACAATCTAGATGATGGGCTAGATCTCCATCATAACGGAAATAAAACTTTGTTTATAAAAACCAGTGGTGGGCCAATTTGGCTCAGCTCTGCGAGTGCCAACCCCTGAGCTGTGTCTGGAGCTGGCAGACTGGCCTCCAGTTACTGGAGAACACCCGTGCGCATTTGTTTACCTAGTCTCTCTGGCTGCTTTTCCGCTTTACCTGGGCGGGTGTATCCGAGATTGTACGGCCCACAAAGCCTAAAAACACTTAACTGTTAGCCCTCAAAGAAAAAGTGTGCTGCTGCCTGGTCTATGTAAATAGGAGTCGTAAAATCAGAATGTTCTCAGGAGATGTGTAAGGGGCCTTGGTCATGAAGCAATGTCAGGCCTAAGCTCTGCACCCCCTGGTCTGGTGACATTGGGCGAGTCACTTAACCTTCCGCCACCATTTTTCAGCTATAAAATATGGATAGTGTCTACTCTGCCGGATTCCAGTAGGATGGTATAAGAAGATATATAATGAGCAGCGGGCACATAGAATACAATGAATTTTTTTTCGGTCAGCATTGGCAGTAAATATAACAGACTTTCAATCTTCCGTGTCTGTTTCGGCTTGTTTCTTCTTTCATTGTTAAGGTGAGCCGTTGCCTGGAGGGAGACCTTGTAGGGGCCGGTCACCCTGTCTGTTATTCAGCCTCATCTTGTATAGTTAGGCTGTCGTTCTTTGCTGTTTTTTCCTTTTCTCTATGTGTAAAACATGTGTCCCTGTCAACTGTAACATTTAGCCATTTCAGGGTCTAACTTAATCCTCACCCTGGCATCCCCAGGGGTGAATGTGTGCGCGCCCCTCTTTGCCTCAGAGATCAGAGATCGGAGATAGGCAGTGTCAGGGATGCCCAGGAACAGTGACATCTGCCGCCCTAGAACTGGGCAGAGTTGCCTACAAGAGCCCCTCCTTCTCCCCCAACCCCTCCCTCCCCTTCCGTCCCCGTCTCCTCATATCTGCTACCCAGCCCCTCAGGTCTAGATTAAAAAACAAAACACAATTCTCCTCTCCATCTTCCCACACCAAACTGCCCTCCTGAGCAGTTACCTTTGGAGTTCAGGGAGGGGAGGGGACTTGGAATGGTGACGGCTGTCAGGGAGGCGGCAACTTAGCACCACGAATTCCTTGTCAGCAAGGGTGGTTGGATGGAATCGTCCCTCCTGTTAAGGAGCTGGTTTTTCCTGTCCTGATAACACCGTGTTCTTCACAGGTGCTGCACAGAGACCTGTCACCACCTAGCGTGTATTGTTTCCACTGACAAAGGAAAAGAGAACACTTTGCAGCGGAGCACACGCTTGTGCGGATAGAAATCTCTCCTCCACAGGCATAGGCAGCCCGCCTGCAGTTTCCAGGGGAAACCGGAGGGGAAGGGGCCTAGGTGATGCCCGTGTCATAGGGAAACCCCCTGAATTCCTCTCTGCCTGACGCTTTCCTTCACAGTGAGAACTTCCCTGGCTGCCCGGACACTTACTGCCTTTTGTTTGTGCTGCTGCCGCCAGGGAGAAAGTTCATGGTCAGTGTTCAGAGAGCTGGTGTCTGGACAGACCACGCTGGTTCACAGTCCTAATGCACTGGCCCTCGCAGCTGTGCTCGCGGGCAGAGGGGAGCCTCTGTGTGAAATGCCCACGGGAGATTTTCTATCTATCGATTGTCCACACCACACATACCGCGCCGGGTCGTTCACATAGAGCCCGTTCATGCGTAAAGGCGCCTTTGGGAGGCACAGCACCCTGGGCTTGTGTCGCGGAGCACCCGCGGCGCCCTGGTTGTCATCCGGGTGTGCAGCAGGGCTCGGACGCCCGACGTGAGTGTGGCGGGTGTCCTCACACTGTGCTTAGGCTCTGGGCGGTGCGGCCGGCAGGGACCGGCCGCGGTGAAAGCCGCCCTCCGGAGGGACCGGTGTATGGAGGGGAAGCATCCTGACGGCGAGGGAAAGGAACCACAGCATTCTGGGAAATAGATGACACTCTGTTTCTGCTTTCAGTCACGTTAGGGGGATGCCGCTCTCGATTCCACACGACCCTGGTGCTTTTATTTATCCCGCGTGTGACTTAAAAAGGCTCTCCCCGGGCGGTTCGTTCCCTTTGACAGTCCGTGAGGCACCGTGGCCAGGCTGAAGCACACACACTCCTGCGCCGACGGCCCGCCTGGCTGGGCAGTGCAGTTAGTGGTGGGTGACCCTGTGCGCCTGCCTGCCTGGTGGTGGAGCTGGTAGCAGACCATGCCCGAGTGAGAGAAGGAGGGGAAAGGGGCGAAGAAGCAGGCCGATGCAGCGGCCACAGAGGTGCGTTTCCTGTGACCTCCATGCCGGCAGAGCCCAGAGCCCCTGGGCGGGGGTGAGGATATGGTATCGTATTTTGCTGACAGCAGAGCAGAGCTGCTCTCCATGGCCTTGATCCATTCCTGACTGCAGCTGTGGGTAGAAAATTGATCTGCGTCAGAAAGAATTTTTAAATCAGATCCTGTGAAACTGTTCATTTTACTTCCAGTCTGGGGTACACTAGGAATGAAATTTTAGATAGGTTTATCAAACCTACAATCAACTAGTCTCTCTCACTCCATTTCCCAGAAACTACGAGAAAGAAAGGACTCATGCCCTCAGTGTCCTGTGCAGAGGTCGCTCCTGTGAATGGAGTGGGGTTTGTGCTGCGGTTGATGTGGCGACAGAGGAGGGCAGTGGGGCAACGGTGCACTTTTTTGGTTTCTCAGTATCTCCTTTTTGTTCAGCCAGCTGAGAAATTGGCTGCTCCTCTCCCAAAATGAAACTAATTTTACAGATGTGAGAAAGAACAGTGAACTGAGTACACTATGAAGAAACTCCATTAACAGCTTCCACGTTTTAGAAAAGGCAATTTTTCAGAAGGAAGAGCCAATTGTATGGGGACAAGAATAAAGGTAAATCAGTATAGTACAAAAATAGTAAGAATTGTAAATACATAACATACATTTTTTAGCCTGATTTTTGTTCTCTTACACTTGGTAGGAATTTTACTTTTTAAAATATATAGCTTGATTGAATTCAGAAAAGGGAGAGAGAAATAGAAACATCAATGATGCAAGAGAATCATTGATCAGCTGCCTCCTGCATAACCTCTACTGAGGGTTAAGCCTGCAACTCTGGCATGTGTCCTGACCGGGAATCGAACCGTGACCTCCTGTTCATAGGTCAGTGCTCAACTACTAAGCTATACTGCAAAGCAGGAATTTTACTGTTGATGCTTACCTACAGTTAATACCCTGGAGACATCAAGAACATCCCAAAGGCGGTTTGCTGTGCAGCTGAAGAGAAATGTTAAAATCAGATGGTTCTTTGAATTTACCTAGATGCCGTGGGGCAAAGGGATTTTTTCCCCCTTTAGTTTAATCTAGATGTGGTGATAACTAGTTTGGCTGCTAGCCTGCAGGCTTTCCCATTCAGAGAACGTGTTCTCAGGACATTAATTCGTGTTTTGATATGAACTTCTGCGCTGAGCGCACGGCACATGCAGTTTTTGAATATTCGCTCCTCCACAGCCTCAGTGAGCTGAGAGTAGAAGCAGAGACAGTGTTTTCTCTAAACTGAGTTCTCAGACATCTTCAAGATGTGTCTGAAGAGTGAGTGGGGAAACATCTCCGGAACTTAGTGAGGGGCACCATGCTTGAGGTCAGAAAACTGCTTTGCATTTAGTCAGTTCTCAACAGTTTATTGCCTAAGTAGTTCTGTTACTTTTTATATTATGCTTCGCTGTGCTGTAGGCACCCTGGCATATAAAGATCCCTCCCCTTCTTTAGAATTCCCTTTGTCACGCAGGCACCCTCCATGGAGGGCACATGTGTGTGTCTTTCCCTGTAGGTGGCAGCTGTTAGGATAGTGTGACT